ACACACACACACACACACACACACACACACACACACATTCTCTCTCTCTTTCACTCATTCTCTCTCTCTCTCTCTCTCTCCCAATGACGGCAAAAAATATGATAAGAACACTGGTTTGGCAAGATATAATTGCCGTGGTCAAATGTGGGTCGAGTCTCTTGCCAAAATGGCGAGTTTTGTTTCTGCTCAGTCAAAGCGGTTGGTGACTAAAGTCAATTTGTATATTGCTGTGGAAAGAAAATAACATTAACTTCAATTTTTTTAAATTGATTTTCAAAACTCCCCGAAGACATCGCAAGAACGTAAGAATTTCCCACGAACAGAGAGGTAGTCACATTGTGTGTAGTGTAAACTATACTATAAGATCTTGCATCACTGAGACGAAATAATATAGCTTTTTCGACGCTGCGCAAAATGTTTTAATTTCAATCGATTTTAAATTAGGCCTAGATCTATCGCACTTCAATAGTCTTCTGGCGAATGCGAAGTGAAATAGTGACGCACTGTTAATTAGGTCTAGATCTAGAGAGGTTAGGCCCTAGGCGTACGTTGAAATGGGAAGTCCCTTGAAATGCACAGCGACCCGGCTATCTGAATCTGAGAAGCTCGACAAGTCAAACTTTGGTACTCACATCCATCAGTTCCTCACAAGTGCATCAACACGAACAAAATGTGAGTCAATCCTTTTTCCGCTGAAAACGACGCATTGATAAAGGAAACATTGCATAATTTTGAATTAATGATCTTAAATTCACAGATTTAGAGCTAATGATAGATCTATATTAATAGCGTAACAGTTATTGAATGTATAAATAGATCTAGATTACATCTAGCGTGTTATACATGCCCTACAACAAGTACTTAAAGACATTCTCTGTTTTCCTGGAAGCACACAGTGAAAGCAGTCGGTTAAAGTTTGATAAGCTATTATAAACTTGCACAAAAAAGTCAAGGAACAAAAATTCAAAGACAGATAACTGAAAACTTTTTATCCGAATTTATTCAGTTTTTCCAAAATGATGATTTCGACTCTCTAGATTATGTGAGTACAATTTCAAATTTCAACAACAACAAGAAGTTTACGCAAAATGAGCTTAAATCACACTGGTCGGATTTCAAAAGTCGGGACAGCCATGGTTCTTCATGAACATTGTGAATAGTGGGTGTAGCCATCCTGGTTGATCAAACATTCGGTGCAGCTTCGACTCATGGACTGGAAATGCCTTTGGAGAGCTTGTTGCGATAGTTTCTGCCACTCCTGGACGAGGTAAACTCAAGAGTTGTTGAAGGTTTTGTGCAGGAGGGTGGTTGGCCGTTTTACACCGATCAATGTGATCCCAAATGGTCCAATCTGCTGCAGGAGAGGAACAGCAAGGGGTTGTGGGATTTCGTCCCTGTACCCTGCCGCAGTCAAATTGCCCTGCATAATATGGTTCAGGGGGGTCCCGTGGTGATCTGAGAAGCCTCCCCACACCAGAACGGACCCTCCACCGTTGGGCGCCACCTGTTGGATGCAGTCAGAGTGGAACCGCTCTCCTCGGTGCCTCCAGACGTGAGCTCGCCTGTCTTGGTGCACCAGGTTGAATCTGGATTCGTCCCAGAAGACTACCTGGTCCCACTGACGTCGTGTCCACTGTGAATGGCGAGCGGACCTCGTCTGGCGAGCTGCCTTGTTGGGCGGCGTGTACCTTGGGCGTCTGGCAGGGACACGAGAAGCGAACCTGGCTCTACGGAGACAGTTCCTCACTGACTCCTCGCTCACGTGGACATTAACTGTCATCCGTCGTTGGCCCCTGATTCGGTCTGCAGTGGTGGTTCGTGACGTAACGGACTGTCTGACAATGAACCGGTCGATCTTGTCGTTGGTCAAACGTGGCCACCCTGGTCGAGGCCTATGGTGGACTTGCTGGTCGCCCGCCATCGTTTTTGCAGCTTCCATATGACGGATGGGGACATTCCAAGTCGACGTGAAACGACTTGGAACGTGGAGCCATCTTGTGGGCAGGCAAGGGCTCGTCTTCTGTTGACACCAGGCAGCGAGCGTCTTTTAACCACCGTGTTGCAATGAAACATGGCTGAAAAACGCTGGCTTGTAAAGGTTTGTAAGTGAACGATATTCACAGCCAAGACATCTGTTTAGCACGTGACAAGCTCAATTTTAGCCACCAGCCCCTATGCCAATGTTGCAAGGCAGAGAAATTTAGTCAATTTTTCATGCTTTTTGACAGTGTTTTGGCATGCTCCACGTCGTCACTTTGAAGCTCGTGTGGGTAAATTTGCTGTACATGCAAACTGTGGCTAATTGTCAGTGCCTGTGCCAAGTTTGGTTGACTGAACGTAACGAGTTTGCGAGATATTGAAGTTTAGATTTGACAGGTGAAAACACAAGTTGTTCCTTGACTTTTTTGTGCGAGTTTAGTATGATGATTCGTTTTCTCTGTATATAAAAAATATTAATACAAGAGCGGAATGTTGAAATGCTGCATTGCCAATGCTTCCCCCAATCTAATTTGAAATTATGAGCGCAGCTCTGTCTGCTGTTAATCATTCGACCAGGTATTATTCAGTCCCATATACAGCTGTGAGCTGCTTTTATTCTCCATATCCATTTAAACAAACAGGAAACTTTATTTAACAAATGAGTATTTAATTTTATATGATGTGATGTGGGCAAAAGGCCCTAAACACTGAATAAACTTGCGGTTAATTTATAGAATCCCTCCCGTCTCATAGAGGGCGATATTTTGTAGCTTTTCCGTTTTTTTTATGGGCCTGAACACGATTTTGGCATTTAAAAACTTTGCAAATGGTTATCCCCTCCCCCTCCCCCCTCCACCTAATGACTTAAAAATCATGCATAAACAATATTTAAAAAACCCAGCCATGGCATGGAGAGCAGCCGCGAGACGGGAGTGATTCTATAAAAATACCAAACTTTGCTTACTTACTTTCGGATGCAAATAATTAATTGTTCATCGTGGCGAGTTACAAAAGTGACAGTGGCCGGATGAATTCCTTCCGCAGAACAAATGATTTGCTTCTAACAATGAAGTATGGCATAACTGACTTAAACTTAAACAAACAGGAAGGAAGTTTGCGCACGACACAGCCCAGTATTTCCCCCGAAGTGATGGCAAACAACAAACAGGTCATCACCGTGGTCTTCCTCGCCACAAGCCTCTTCTTGGCGCAGCGTTATGCCCGGGGCGAGAGCTGCAGGACCAACCTGGGACCTGGCTGTTTATGTATCAGGTAGGCCTAAACAATCATTGTGTATGATCAGAATAAGCCTTTTTTTACCTTTTTTTAAAACAAAATTATTATTACTATTATTATTGTCATTATCATTACCATTATTATTTTTATTATTATAAGGATAATTGTAAAATACTGATAAATATAAAACTAATATCAAAAGAAGCAGCAACAATAGCAACAAGAAGTACTTTAGACCTACTACTGTCCTTTTTTTCTATGTTTAGTCTAAAAAAAATATTTCCGCAAAGCCCCGACCTTGCCGAATATCCCTTGTTTTCCTCATCATCGTATTCATGCCCATCAGAGAAAGGGCTACTGTCCACGTGACCTGTCACACATTAGCTCAGTGGACGCGCCCCTTAGACGAGTGGAACGGCGTGGAAAAACTAGTGGTCATATGCCTGGGCGAGGAGGCCACCGTGAGCTTGGAACACCCTCTAGCGGCAAACCTGACGGCTCTCACTTTGACGTCACTGGAGGTTCATGACTGCGGCTTGCGGGACTTGGGCCCGTGGGCGGTGGATAATCTAGTCAGGTACCTCCACCGAGCGTTTGTTTCTGGATGTCATTGTGTATAATTCAATGCTGTTTTCACGGAAGTCTTTTAGTACAAAGAAGAAAGTTCTATTCCTGTATGTGAAACGTGTTTTATGATATTATTGTGTTTTCATCTGGTGCACTGTGTCCCACCTATCCCAGATTGGCGTTGACAGGCTGGATCGAAGTGGTATACCTCCTGAAATGATCTAAAGTGTGTAAATGGGGACGTAAGATAAGTTTTCACAATCACTTTACGTAAGCATGACTAATCGGAGAGGAGTGCTTTCAGCTGGACAACTACTAATTAACAAGGATAGCAATGTAAGTACAGATGGCCTTAAAAAATTGCAACAAATAACACAAAGAGGAAAACCGAGCTGGTCAAGAACACAGACAACAGGAAAGAAAGGGGTACCATGACTGAATATGTCTGCTCCAGACCTGAGACCTGCAGAAAAAGTAATCATTTTAAACTCAGTGCCGTTCTTCGACAAAATAGTTGGCCAACAATTTTGTTCAAGATAAGCACTGCTAGAATTAAATTTATTGCGTTGTGTGCGTGTGGCACCGTCCCTTATTTTCAAGGTCCACAACTCACCGACAAAACTGTTCACCAGTTATCTTGTCGAAGTGTGGTAATCTATATACGAGCGCCTATACATATAATTTCGTACATGTGGATGGTTGTTTTCTATGGCTGAAAAAAACTACGGAAAGTAGGACCATGAAAAAATGACTGAAGGTAGTTCAAAGACCAAGCTCAGTTTTTATCAAATCAGTAAGTGCTTGCATAAGCTTTAAAAAATTATAAAAATAGAAAACACTATCGGCCGTTTATGATTTTCCCGTTCGTCATTTCAATGCAGTGTTCAAGACATTTCGCTTTCCATAATATAGAAATTGCTCTTCCGCCGGAAATAAACAAATATCAAGTGTTCGTCACTTTGGTCGCCTAAAACTTCCGAACCACTTAACTTTCGAATTTGAAAAACAATAACGGTGGTTCAGAATCAATTAAAGGGTGGCCAGTGATACAAAGAAGTCTGAAGCCAGAGTAGTTTAATTTTCAGCTTTTCATTAGTTTCGTTTAGATCTAATCTTTGGAAAGTCCGTCTTCTAAGACGCCATTGTAAACAAGTGCGACTTCCCTTCACATGCTGTGCGCACTGAACCCAAAATTGACTTGACGACTAAGTATGTTCACCAAACGTGGTACTCAGGTAGTAAGCTAATAAATAAAATAAAGAGAGCAGCGTAAAATATCGTAAGGGCTTCAACGCCGAATGCATGCAAAGCCGAATTGTAGGCGTGCTTCCAGAAAATCCCATCAACTCCATAATGTTACAAACAGAATTGTCTACAGATTTTTTTCTCTCCCAAACTGCACTGTAACCCTTGATTTAAATAAATGTGATAAAATTGTGTCTCGTTCATATTCATGTTAAATTTATTTTTTTTGTGTGCAGAATACGTTGTTTTTTGTGTTTTTGGTTGTTGTTGTTTTTTTTGGGGGGTAGTTTTTTGTTCTTTTTCGGGTTTGGGGGGTTTTTCAGTTTTTGTTTTATGTTTGTTGTTGCTGCTGTTGTTGTTGTTGTTGTTGTTGTTGTTGTTGTTGTTGTTGTTGTTTTTGTTGTTGTTGTTGTTTGGTTGGTTGGCTCTTTTTTTGGGAGGGGATGCTTTTTGGAGGGTGGATGTTGTTGGTGTGTTTGTTGTTTCCTTATTCTCGGTTTTGTAGTAAATGGACATCGTGTGTTTTGACCTAGAGCCTTCGTTCACACAACTTCATTCATTTACAATAATCGGCCAGAGAGACAGGCCTTCAGCTGGACAACAACCGGCTGAGCCGCATCCCCCTGGCTGTACGGACTCTGGCACTGCGGGAGCTGTACTTCTACGACAACCCAATCACCGCCATCTGTGCTGGAGAACTGCCCGACACGCTAGAGATTCTTCGACTAGAGGCCGCCGACCTGCGCTACATAGACCCGGACGCCTTCGCCAAGACGAAACGCCTGAAGGTTCTAGTAATCTACGGCATGAATCATTTCTTCTTGTCTTTGCTCTTCTTTTTTCTTTTTTTTTTTTTTTTTTTTTTGGTACTGCGCTCGCAACTGCATAAGGTCATACTCATATAAACACGAAGGGCACATTAAACATTTTCAGTGGGTTACCAACTTGGTAGGAAATTTGGAATTTTGCCCGGGTGGCGGCTGAAACCTACTCTTATCGATTTTAGACCACCAAGAAATCTTTAACGTGCGCAATTTGCACATGGGCCCTCCGAGATGTTTCGCCCTTGTCTGAGAAGGCTAGGTGTAGATCTTTCCTACCAGAAGATCAGGGTGGTGGCTGAAAGACGGCAGTAAGAAGGAGCCAAGGAGCAGCAGTAGAAAGGCTGCAGAAAGAGTCAGGATCCCAGAGAGGGAGCAGAGGGGGTGAGGGCAGAAAATACAGACGACGAAAGCAGATAACAGAACGTTGTTAGAGAGCAGGAAAGGAGAAAGGAGACAATTTTAGGGAAGAAAATGTTCCGAACCCGGGACCTTTGAACGAGAGGCGAACACCGTCCTTTATCTCTAGGCCACGAGAGCCTCCTTCCCCCCTTTCTTCTTCTTGTTGTTGTTTCGTTGTTGTAGTGGCTGTTGTTGTTGTTTTGCTGTTTATGTTGTTTAAGTTGTTCCTGATGTTGCTTGTTGTTTTTGTTGTTGTTGTTGTTGTTGTTGTTGTTGTTGTTGTTGTTGTTGGTGTTGTTGTTGTTGGTGTTGTTGCTGTTATTGTAGTTGTTCTTATTCTTCATCTTCTTCTTTTTCTTCTTCTCCTTCTTCTATTATCGGCACAATTTATATCACTCAGGATGCAGGCCTCAACATTTTCAGTCACGGTCAAACTGGGCTGAGTTGGCACATAACGTACAAGCAGAAAGCCTAAGCTGCTCGAAAGAAATTCCACTCCAATGGGAATCGAACTCATGTCTCCTGTTTGTAATGGCTAAGCGCCTAACAGCTAAACAATAGACTCCGGTTGCTATCTTTCTCTTAGGCGTTCATGGGCTCTTAGAAATAAAAAGGTATTTGGCCCTTATATGACCTTAATAATGTGTTGCAAGAGTCTCAACTTACTTACTTTTGTACTTTTTCATCCTGTTGCCGTTAAGCGTCGAGGGGAGATGCAGTTTTCTATGGTAGGCTAACTCCGCAGCTCTTTCAGTTGTGATGTTATGTTTTCTTAGGGTTTCCTTGACACCCTCGATCCACCTTTTGCGTGGCCTTCCTCTTCCATTATAGCCTGAGTGCTTGGTGTTGTAGGCTCTCGAGGCTGGTCAGGTGACATTCGTATCAGGTGGCCAAACCATTTTATCCTCTGTCTTTCTATGTAACGCAGACAGGACTCAGTGCCTATAGCTGCTCTTACTTCTTCATGTATCTGCCTTTCTCGTCTTGCGAAGTTAAGGGTTTTGCGGAGACATTTCATTTCGCAAGCGTTGATTTGGCTTTCATGCTCAACGCTCTTACTATAACAAAATAAAGAAAAAAGTTTATCCGTTATCGCTACAGGTTTTCAGAGTTCCTGGGGCGAAAGGTCTTCATTGTATCCACCCCGGAACGTTTGCCAACACACAGTTAAGACAGGTAGACGTGAGTGACTCAGGACTCACGAGTTTGGATTTCTTGCTGAGTGTCGACAACAACTGGGGTGGCCAAGAGCTTCCCGCGACGAGGGTGAGTAATAACGGTAGTTTAGGGTCTGGGGGGGGGGGGTATAACGTCCATAGGGATGGATTAGATGTACTGGTGAATTTATTTTTTAGAATGAGTGTTTTGCTACCCAATCGACTCATATTAGATAGTTTAGGAAGCGGGCGTTGACCACGCCTGTCAGACAAATCCCAGCAGCAAGACCTAGACTAGATACGGGAGGAAAATTCTCCCCGCCCGAGAATCGAACTCGGGTCTCTTGTGTGCGGTAGAGTATATACATTCGGTACCGTTGTACAAAAAAATTTTTCCTTGTTCTCAACCCTTTTATCCACACGCCACACCCCCTCCCCGACCCCTTTCATACATTGAGGTTCTCTCAGCCTTCCTGCCTGTTGCTCCCTCTCCTTCTTTCCATTTATTGATCTTTCTATCTGTCTGTCTCAAAGTGAAATGCTCGCAGCTAAAGGGATTTGAAAACAACAACAACAACAACAACAACAACAACAACAACAACAACAACAACAACAACAACAACAACAACATCTGTCTGTCTGTCTTTCTCTTTTCATATCTATCAAGTTATCTGCCTTTTGGTTTATTCGTTCATCTATTAATCTCATGTATCGTGCATGTCTATATTTTCGCCCATAAACGTCAACAACTACCAATAATTATTGACTTCAAAGCGTTAATCAAGATTCTCACCAGGAGACTGTTCAGATGTCTTAACGCAAGATGATAACACGTTTCCACGATATAGTGTTTTCAAGTGGTAGTAATATAATGGGGCTTCTATCCAAGACACTATTTATGCATATTTACTCTTATTTCAAATGATTGCCTTTCGAAAATGTTGTGCAAAGGTTGGGGGGGGAGGGGGGGGATTTACCCCTAAGTATTTTATCCGTTTCATTTGATTATGTAGGGATAAGTACAATAAATGATGGATGTATTATTCTATGTTTAGTCAACACTTGGAATGATTTAATAACAAAACTTACACGTTCATTTTTGTCTTCCTCTTCTCATGGAACGATATTCTAAACTGATAATCTTGACGACATAAATGAATGTGTGTCTCTGCCAACTCCACCGGTGGTTTTGACGGATGTGTCGTTGGACAGATTGAAGCTGGAGGCAGCAACGTAATCTGTGACTGCTCTGTGAAAGAGATTGCCTTCAGGTAGACGCTTCCTCAGAATCACAACGTTCTATCTGATCAGTACCTAGTTTGGAGTTACTTCTTTTGCGTTAAAAATTTTGAGTTTCACAATATGTCAAGATTTTTTCAAAGGAATTCTGTCAACATCTTGATAACGACTCCGAAAAATCTTACGATTTCGATGGACCAGGTAGAACATTTGGCTTTTGACCTCATTGCCTTAGTAACTCAAAACGTCCAAAAATGTCAGATAGAGATTTGTAATTCTGAGGTGGCCAAATGACAAGTCAACGTTGAGATCGTTCCCGTTCAGTTCTATATTATTTATCATAGTTCAATGCTTTCTGGGATGACACCTTCTCCGATGAATTTACCTCATCGGTAAATTTTTCTTCCAAGCAAATACTAGATATAATATGGTGTAATTAGGTTTGTTAACCAGTGACATCTTCATTCACTTTGCTTCCCAAAACCATAACTGCCTCAATGTATAGCCTTCTGGGATAAAGGGGGCTTAGAGAGGGGGAGTGGTGCTTTGCAGAATTCCTCAACAGCCATCGTGTTATATTTTCTAGTCAGCCCGGCTGGACGAAATGAATTAGCGTGGTGAAACTTGCTGGTGTTGTTTGTTTGTTGTTGTTTTTTTGCTGTTTTTTTTGTTTTTGTTGGAGGGGGTATATTTATGTTTTTTCCCTTGGGTATGTAAAAATGTGGACGGTCGATATCAAACAGGGTAGACCAAGATACCTTAAATATAACACAAGATACAGAACCAACTCGCCGTGTCAATCAACTGCCCCAGCTCAGCTAGTGCCGTCTTCCTATATTGAAGAGCTTTCCTTAAGCATGAACAGTAGAGTAGTTTCCCCACACACAATGTAATAACACCAAAATATTATGGTCCAAGATATAATACGGTTACAGGGGGCAGTCTCTTTTTCTTGTTTTGAGAAAAATATTCGTCTCAGCCTTGAAAAACCAAGTACTCTGCATTTGAAAGGATCTTCATCGTATCTTGTATAGGATACATGTAAAACTTTGTTACACCTCTACTGTCCCCTGTCACTTGTTAGCATGGCTACACTCTTTGATACAACAGGGCTCCACCTTCTCTGATATCTGGTTTGGTATATTATTTCATGAAGTTGCTGACCACTGTTGGATTTCACTTTTTTCAATGTATGGTGTAGAAGGTCTTCTCTATTTCTCTTTGCTTTTACTTGCTCATCAGCTCAGTTATCATCAGGTCCGTTTTCATATTTCTGTTTTCGTAACCAAGGCTTTTAGCCTCCTTTTGCTGATCTTTGAAAGTGTAGTGCAACAGTGTATCAAGTTCTTTGAGGACATTTTTGTAATTTGTTTTTTTTATCTATCTGTTTTACTTTCTTGAGAAAAGGAAAAGGAGCAAACTGGTGGTACTTATTCATTTGTTCCTGAGTGCTGTCTTGCACCAGCGCCTGTGGTATGACCAACAGTTGTAGAAGCACAGCTGGTTGTTTAAATGGCCGTTCGTGTTAAATATTGTAATAATTGTAAATGTTTTACTTCCCAACGAACACAATTTTGATCGTTTAGGAACAAGCTACTTCAGCCTTGACTGTTAAGGCCAACGCAGTCTAAATGGGGTGCAACATCTCGAATGACAGACGGAGATCTTCAATAAAACAACTGCCCCCCTCGAGATTTGAACTTACACATTCTGTATTTGTTTCATTACGTACCTCGATGGAGAGTCTGACTCTCACACCACGGACGCCTGTACTCAATAACGTTTAAAAGTACGAAGGCCGAGTCAAATTTAAATCGTTAGTAGAATATGCACAAACTACAACGTTCACATGGCTAATTCGTCTGTAACTTCGAAAACTTATTGATCTCATTCTGCAGATATGGAGACGCCCTAAATGTGGACTGTGTGAAGGAACTCAGAGACGGAGAGGCGTTTAAGATAAAGAAAGGAAAAGCCTCTTCTTGGGAGATGAAATTTGCAAACTGTCCCACTGACACGCCAACAAACCCACCCACTGTTGCGAACGGTTGCTTCAGACAGGGCATGCATGAAAGGAGTGAGTGCAAGAGATGGCAGAGTGTTCCCTTCCGAGTGGGGGAGATTAAGGAAGATCCTTATTTAGCTTTGGCCGGGGAAGTTCGGCATCAGTCAACGTTTATTTTGGTATCCCTTTTGTTGTTTATCGTTTGGATGGATTTTGTTGCCTAGGTAAAAGATGAAATAATGTGCTGAAAGATGTTATTTGTATGATTTAATTTTGAGATAAGGGAAGGAAGGAAAGAAACACACACACACACAAACACACACACACACACACACACACACACACACACACACACTCACTCACGCACGCACACAGGCAGGCACAAGCAAACAAAAACACACACAAGCATAAAAAGAGAATGAGAGAGGGAGTGGGGGAGAGACAGAGAGACAGAGAGAAAGCGAAGAGAGACACAGTACTGATAGACTGAGAGACGTGTTATGTATTTGTTTCATTACGTACCTCGTTTGAAAAGGTGTTGCGTACAGGTGCAGTAAGTGAAATGGAGAAGAGAACGGGGGAAGAGCTTCGAATATATCGATAATATTCCATAATATTCTTATCAAATCCTTAAAAAATTAGTCCCCTCCCCCCCTTTTCCACCACCCACACCTGTTTTTCAAAATACTCTGTTTCTGTCAAAACATGCTTTAAAAGAAGGTGTACAGTAAAAACGGATGATGGAGCAGAAATTGGTTGGGTTTTGAATTTGCTTACACTAAGATTTAATCTTGAAAAAAAAAAGAATGAATAACAATATAGTTGGGGTTTGTTTGTGTGTGTGTTTATTGGAACAATAAATATTTTCCATAAACTATGGAGTACTTGACTTTCGAATTATCTATTTCGCATCCTGCTTGCTTGTTAATGGTTGGTGTTTGTGTATAGTGTATACCAGTTTTGGGTGGGGGTTTTCTTCTTTTCTTTTCTGGGCGCTACTTGAATTCGCGATTTGTTACAACTGTCTAAGAATTCAAGTCGTTGTTGAAATGTTGGGCGACTGATCAGAGAAATTGAAACACCAGTACAAATGGCCAATAATGTTAGTTACCAGCTTACTCAACTACTGAAACATCCTAACATCCCCATGACAACAAAACTCAAAATGATTAACACCTTATTCATCCCAACACTCACTTATCAATGCCAAACATGGACCACGAACAAGACATTAGAGCAAAGAATTACAACGTGTGAAATACGATGCCTTAGAAAAGCAGTAAACAAGACCAGGCGAGACAAAATTAGAAACTCAGTAATCCGAGAAATGGTGAGCACAAATGGTGTCATGCATCCCATCCAACACTAAAGAATCAAATGATTCGGACATCGCCTACGATTACCAGCACACCATCCAGCACAACGTCCCTACATCCAAAATTCCGATGGCAACAAGGCTAGAAGGCGACCGAGAAAGACCTGGATAGATGAAGTCATGGAAACATTAACCACCCACGGCATCCCCCTGACCCAAGCTCACAAGGTGGCGACAGAGAGACGTCTCTTTCTTCGCGCGACACCCAAAAGGGTGTAAGCGGAGGATAAAAGTAAAAGTAAAGTAAGTAAGTTGAAATGTTAAAAGGGACTCTACTGTAATGGAACATAAATACATCGCTACCATAGAATTACAAAGTTCTATCTGCTCAGTGCCTACTTTGGGGATTTTGACGTCAAAGATATTGAGTTTCACATCATGTCAAGTTTTTTTTTAATGCAATTTGATAATACCTTGACAAAGATTCCAAATGTTGATAAAGCTGATAGAACATTTGGTTTCTTACCTCAAGTTCTTAGTAACTCAAAATGACCAAAAATATGAGATAGATCTTTATAATTCGGAGATAGAATAGTGTGTGTGACGCTTGGAGAGAGTCAAACAGTGAATTCTATCATGATCACCCAGTGCCAGATCTGCGACAGACATCGGCAATCATGGTTTCTAATTCATTACTTTGCTCGGATGCTCTCAAAAAAGCTACGTTTCCCTGATCTTTCCCTGTTACTGTTACCCCCGAACACGCAACCTCACGATTATGAGGTCCTGTGGTCTAACCGCTAGGCCACCACCTGTCCAAGACAACCATCTAATACAAAGACTACTTCCTACTTCTCCCTTGCACTTTTTGTGTTAAATAACCACATGTCTCAAATGACCACTTGTCTCCTAAATAGTTTTATTTCAGGGAGGGGGGTTGGGGCATGTTCTACTGTACTTGGTTAAGATGTGACTGCATCCGTCTTGACTCCGCAGTAGTACATTTTGGTCTAAATTCAGTCTCCCTTGAAAAACTTTATGGTGACTGATGATGAGGCGAGACTTCCTAATTTAGTTCGTCCCTTCACGACAAATCTGAGAACGCAGAGATCTCAGAAAACTGACCGAAGACGATTGAAACGCGGGCCATCCTCTCCGTACCCCGGCTCATTGTCCACCGAGCTCAAGACAAACCTGCCCACATCATGTTCTTCCGTCGCTGGTTTAGATGACTTTGACTTCATATCATTGGTGGAGGGGAGGTGGGGATTGCGCAGGTTTCTGAACCTGCCGACCTTGACCTGGAAATGTCTGCTGCAGTGGGGGCAGGAGAGGTGCGGGGCGAGAACAATGTTTACTAACCTTTTAACAAACATCGCCCACTTTACCACCTTTAAAATACTAACATTTCCGTTTCGCTCCCCATCATATTACGTTTTCCAGTAGGACTTTTTAAAACAACCCATCACTACCACCCGGGTGATTGATCCTGAACAGCCACGAAAATGAGCCAATCTTCCAAAAGTGGGCAATATCATCCAGGCGGGCAAGCACTGTGTTAGAGTTAGAGCAAGGCAGCTTACCAATAAAACAGCGAAAGAATTTATGTTCTTCTCTTCCGTTACCGAGTTTGTTTTGTTTCTGTGCTGTCCTAACGTCTGGGCGCTCCGTTAGCTCAGTTGGTATCATGCTAGACTGCGAAGCGGATGACTCTAGTCTGAATCCCAGACTAGGCGTTCTTGAAATCATGTCAATGTGGTTGGGCTACCGGACTCGTAATCGTGAGGTTGTCAGTGGTCTAGTGGTTAGGCTACTGGACTCTAAATCGTGAGGTTGCAGGTTCGGGGGTTCGAGCCGAGGGCCCGACATTGTGTCCTTGGGAAAGGCACTTTACACGAATTTTCCTCACTTCACCCAGGTGGGAATGGGTACCCGGCCATAGACAGCGAAAGATCTTGTCAGTTTGTTAGTGTTTTAGCGCCTATAAATGCCCGCTTGCACTGTATGCTTCTCAGGAAGTTGAGGTTGTTTCAGAATGAATGCTCTCAGGCCTGCTAGGGTAATAGTATAGATGGTGAAGCGCATAGAGCTTGCTGTTGAGCGGGGGTTTGCGCTTTACAAATGATATCTATTATTATTATTACTATTATGTCGTTTTGTGGAGCTTTCAGTTGCACGTAGACCGTATGGCCCTGTCCTATCGGAGACACGCGTCAAATTCGGAGTCCGAATTTTTTAATTAATCAATTGTAGGTGACTCAATTTGTATTCAAGGCAGACAGATTTGTATTTTTTTCACCAAAAGGAAAGCAAATGACAGGTTTAAAGATAACTCCATTTGCTCCAAAACTGACGAGCGCCTGATTCCACTGTGTTGTGACGATTCAACGTTTTAACAGTCCAGGAGGAGACATTTATTACTATTACCTCATGCATGGAGTTTAGTGGAAGCTTTTTTAAAGAGTGGGCCATATAGTTGAAGTTGTATACTATGTACTAAAGTATCTGTCTCAGTCTTAGTGCTTCAAGCTTATATTGTGTGAATAATAATAATAATAATAATAGCTAGCATTTGTATAGCGCATATCCCCGCTCAACAGCAGGCTCTATGCGCTTTACACTATATTATTACCCCAGCAGACCATAGAACACTCCGAAACAGATCGGA